ACACTGGACTAAAACAAAGGCTATCTCTTAAAATAAACCAATAATTCTTCCTTTAAACAAATAAAAAAGAGACTATCCCCTGAGTATTTGACAGAAGAACTTTTAAAATTTTTACATTTTTGTTTAATTTTTTGAAATTTTGCATAATGATAAAAATAGTAATCATTCAAAATTGTAATTCTTTTTGTTTTAAAAGTGTTTTCAAGTAAATAACTGTGATCATAACAAAGGTACTCCAAAACAACCACTGCAATTTCAAACAGTCCTTGATCAAATTATGCTTTTTTACAAAATGCAAGAAAGATGAAAACAGAAGCCAGAGTTATGACAGAATGTAGGAAACACATTAATTATTGGATGAACCCATTAGTTCATTAGCTAAAGGTCAGTCAAAGGGAAACTATCATTTAAGTATTATCTAAAGTCTTTAACACCAATGTTGAGCCCCTCACAGTTGATCCTAAAAGTCAGCAAGTCAGAAAGGGTAGAGATATCTCTCCCAAAGCCAATTTCTCAAACATAAGCAGCAGACATGAAAATTTAGCCAATTGACAAACAAGATATGTAATTTCAAATGAATGCTGTCACATACTTTCACCAAGGAAAACCAAAATTAGTACAAACTTGATCAAAGAAGCAGAAATTCCTGAGACTTACTATAAGTAAAATAAACATCTGCTAGCTTTGAGACCTCAACAGAAAGGACCAAAATTTAGCATAGGTATGGGACTTATCGTACTGAATGCTGATCTTGTTTTCCCTTAGCCAGTTAAAGGACACAGAGTTTGAGAAGGAAAGTATTTAACTTGTCAACAAACTTAGGAAGGCAGCAGACTCATGTCTAAAAGACCACCATCCTGATCTTTGACAGATTGTAGGTGTATTTATACAAAGGAGTAAAAAGGGGAGATGAGCAAGGGTCAGCATGTCCTATTGATGCAGACATCTGGAGATTTCTGGGGAGATTCCATAGGCGCCAACTTGCTTTGTTAACTCCTGGTGTTTTCCATATTATCTTCTTAGGAATGTTCTTTCAAGAAGACAAGGTTGTTAAATTGGGGAAGGTTGTTAAACAAGGAGGGTAAATTAAGAAAATAGGAATGTTCCATTATCATCACAGATAAAGAACTACCCCATACCCTACTGAGCCATGAAGCTCAAGAGAGCTCAGTGAAGTGCAGTGTAGCCAATATGAGATTAGTGGTAGCAAGGAGTCTTGCTCAAGTCTTTGTGGGATCTGTATGAATATCAAAGTCCTAAGGTAAAGGCCACCAGGCAAACTTGTTGATCATATATGACTGTATGTAGTGTCATTTCTGAATAAGAGAAAGCAATAAAGTTAAAGAAGTATACATTTATAGGCTCATGAGGACTAGGGTTAGTCAAAGGACGATTTTAAGACTAGTAAATAAGATCTACTCAGAGATTAAACAGATTTTGTAAAACAGGTGAGTTGCTGAAACAGTCAATCTTATCTTTGGAGCATGTGAATTCATGTGAAGTAACCATGTTCTCAATTTATCCACAGTCTTACCTTGGTGTTTATGGGTCTCAAAAAGCTTGTGTTAAAACAAAGTTTGATTACATGTCATGTTTTGGTATATTATACAAGTAATAAGCCCAGTTTACAATTTGCTGTTTCTGTTTTATTTCTCAGAAGGGAAAAGTTTATTGGCAAGATAACCAATTGTAACACTTTTGCAGAAATTCACACATAATGAATGCCTGAAAATGGGGAGTAGGAGGGTGAAAAAGGAGATTTTGTAAGCAGGTCAAAGAGGAAAGTGGATTGGAATGGAGTGATTGAGACCTTTGGGAAGATAATAGGCTATAAAGAAGAAGAAAAGTTCAGTGTTTGAAAGCTGGGAAGATGGTGAAATCATTGACAATAACAGAAACAGGAAATTGAAATTTAACATTTGGCACACAGGAAGGTAACAAAGGATGGAGAGATGAGTTATTTTTTTATTTTACTTCATAATTTTTTTCTTTTGTATTTTTAACTATAATAACTTTTAGTCACCATTCAGTGAGGACCAGAAGATATAAGAAAATAAAATTCAGTTTTCAAGAGAATACTGTTAACTTATCCTAGGATGTGCAGCCTTATAATCTTCCACTTAGTTCTGTATTCTTTAAAAAGACTTAAAATTCACAGTAAATCTCACACCCTCATTTAACTATTATTTCATATGTCAATTTTACAGACAAATAACTGGTTCTCCAATGATCTCTAATTGTTCTATTATTTCTGGAATAGTTTGCAGCAAAATAACATAGAGGAATATGAATAGCAAAGAAATTCCCAAATAATGGAAATCTTAGTTGGTAGACAGTACACTTTTATGGGGGAAAAAATGTATATAACCACCCAGTTTTCATTCTGAAGTAACTTGAAATAATAAGTCGAGTTAAACAACTATGTCTTTATAAAATTATTACTTCTATAACTATATATTAATTAAGATTAGAAAATTAATCTATGTTAGCACTGCAATGAAATTTTGCAAACCCTGCTAATAAGTAAGGATAAAAGGAAGTTGCAATGTCATATGGTACCTAAGTTAAATTAGTACAGCATTTGAAGGAAAGTCTCCCAGTGATCCTGAAAAAGTGATCTATTTTTATCCAGACTTTGTAAGGGGACACTTAGTTGTAAAGCCATGACTTCAACATAATGCCAAAGGTCTGGTCACACAGTGTTACTGATGAGTCAGAAGAAAGCATAAAGGCACTCAAGTAACTGTTTAGGAGAACTAAGATATGAATCCCAAAGTATTGGCCTTATTAACACCCTAAGTGTCTAAAATGTATAGTTTTGTTTTCAGTCCCCCAAAATAGTATTCTAGATTTTCTCATTTCAAACTTGTATTTTTTTCTTTTTTTAATAGTTCTGAGATCAAAGTACATCTTAAATCAATATGTAAATTGAAGTTATATATTGTATATGTCTGTGTGTGTTAAGGACTCCTTACTCTTAAATATTTTTAATCTGGGCCCTCCTTGATGGCACAGTGGGTTAAAGCACAGCACTGAGAAGCTAAAGCCACTTCAGCATGAGTTCAACCCCCACCCCAGAGGTGATCCACATGGTGCGACAAACCTCACCTGACTTGCCCACTGTTCCCCACAGCGGTGTACTTCATCAGTCTGCCTGTTCTGCTCCTCACTCTGTCTCTGGTGACTCCTCTCACTGCCCCTGCACCTCTGGCCTGTATCCCAGTTATGTATGCATAAATAAATAAATATTTTTTTAAAAATTTAATAAATATAAATCTGCATTCACATTATAAACTAATTACATCTGTACTTGCATCTAGGAATAACAATAAGAGAACAGTTGGAGGAAAACAGATATTCTAGAGAGTGATATTATAAATCTATAATAATAGGGTAATCATTATCTCACTTAGTCCTAGTGTTTCAGGGCAATCCAATGTGAACTGGGTCATCTGTGAGTCTTCACCCATGCACTTAAGATTTAGTTGTATACTACAGGCAACACAAAAAGATCAACAATGGGTTTATTTACAAAGGGGAAAGAAAAAGGAACAACCCAGGGAAAGAGAGAGATACAAGTTAACTAAAGCATCCTACTAGTTCTGCTGACTTGGAACTCCAGTAGCACACTGAAAGCTCATCAAGAGCCAAACAACCAGCCACCAACCATGAGGCCAAGGAGAGAGAGCCAACATATACAAGGAGAGGGAGCCATATATACATACATATAAAAAAAAAAAAAAAATATATATATATATATATATATATATATATATATTCCCAAAGAGGTTGCTTAGCAAAACTCTTGGGTCCTCACAGTTCTCCCCTTGGTATTGCTGGGAGTTCTGTGACTGGAGTAGGGGGTAGAGCCCACAAAACTCTGCAGAGTTCCTTCAGGACATCCTTTCCCCCTAACACTAGTAGTTGCTATTATGTATCATAAATGAAAAAAGAAGGCATAACTTGTTTGGACAACTTGATATTGAACTTGTCTGAATCTCAAACTCTCCCCACTGTCTCACTGGAATATAAAATAAGTTTGTTTTCTTCATAGATGTAATAGTAGATATCAAATCTCCAAAGAGTGACTCAGTTCAGAGTCATGGCATTTTAGGTATATGTGATTACTTGTTTAAGTTAATTAGTAAAAAGACATCTCTCTACCTCTCCTGATAATTTTAACTTCTGTGCTGTCCACCCCACTTCAGAAAAGGAATTGAAAAAGATAAACAGGGCAGTGAACCAATGTTACCTCACTAAAAAAATACCATTTTTAAAATAAAAAAAAATTAATAAATCTTTCTTATCAGAACTAACAATAAATCACACAGTCTCCACCTCAATGTGCTCAATGAATGACAAATTTACCAGGGCCCTCCCTGGTGGCGCAGGGGTTAAAGCACAGCACTAAGAAGCTGAAGCCACTTCAGCATGAGTTCCATCCCTGCCCTGGAGGTGATGCACATAGCATTGCAAACCTCTCCTCATCCATCTGCTCCCCTCAGCAATGTACTTCATCATTCTGCCTGTTCTGCTCCCCACTCCATCTCTGGTGAATCCTCTCATCGCCCCTGCATTTCTGGCCTGTATCCAGTTCTGTATGCATAAATAAATAAATCTTTTTAAAAACTAAAATAATACCAGAAGGGAAAAAAAAGAGAGAATTATTTCATATCACTTGCCCTATAAACAATCACTGGGAAGGCTAGTATCTCCAGGGACATTGTCAAAGCTGGTGTGATATTTAGCCTACTGCTTGTCACTACTTAAATTTGTGCTTTTTTTTTTTAATTCTGTAGGAATAGCCTACTATATACTTTCAATGTTTACTTTAAGACCCTTTGGGTATATATCTTCTACTTATCAGATCAATGCTAGATATGCTGGATTTATTGACTATCTTTTTTGTAATAAAAATAGGCAACATTATTAAAGAATAACATTAAATTAACATTAAAGAATAATTTGTGGGTTTTGCTTGTTTGTTTTCTACTTTATAGCTGCTAAATCCTGAAGATGACCTCTTACCAGGAAAGATTCGAGACAGCAATCGTTCAACACTCTTAGCAACAATTCAAGAACATGGTTACCCCACAATCAACCTGGGAATTGTGGGAGACAAGTAGGTATTGGATTTTAATTTGAAGCTGGTCTTGTACAAATATAAATTTTGAGAGCTAACTGTGATCTTTACTAATGAGAACTTTAATACCATGATTTTTGTTTATTTTATTCTTCAGAAGTCAAAGAATTATGCAGGTCTCTATGTCCTTTAGGCTAGGCATTTTCTGGAATACTTATTACAATGGGAGAAGTAGTTTGCACTCTTCCAGGTATATCCTAGTGGAACTAATAGTGATGGTGTTATTCCTGTCCAAATTTTTATTTGTTTAAAGAAAGAGAAAACAGATAAGAAAATCAAAATTAGCACTAACAGGATTTTTATATTGATTTTTAAAATTATTAATATATCCCAAGTTTCTTCAGGCTTCACACACTTGTAAATACTACAAAGTAAAGCACATTGACTGAAATTAATAGGCTCTTTTTAAGAGCCTATTACCCCCCTTTAGAAATTAACTCAGTCCTCTGCTGAATTCCCCTAAGTATTTCTGCAGATCTCCAATGTGTCTTTCGTAGGCTCAGAAGCAAGTCTGCTCTTTCTGAGCATCCCACTACCTATCAAGATTCCCCAGCCATATTTCAACCAGATTTTATTTCCAATTCACCAGGAATGTGCCCACTTTTTGTAGTATCTAAACATGAGACTGGTGAAGACAAAATTAGGAGATAAACTTCAGTGTTGGATACCATGATGTCTCTGTCACCCACATTAACCCTTTTCTAGCTCACCACCATCTTGTCATTAACTCTTTATGCCTGTATATTTCTTCCCTTAAGATGAGACTCAACTGTGTTTTTGAAGAGACTCTGCCCTACCATTTCAATGTATATCCTCTGATGCCATAAACCTCATCTTTGGCCAAATTGGACACAACACAGTACAAACTTTAGGCATAGCATCTTGACATAATGGCCTAATAAGTAGTAGCTTTTATGTCATCTCTCCTTTTAAAGTTCTCTTCTTTTCTTCAAATTTTTTTCTTTCTCAGAAGACGCTGGAATAGAGACTATTAGACATATTTCCTAACTACTTTCTTTTAGAATCTTCCCTATTTGTAATTATCTAGATGTATAGTTCTGAAGAAGTCTATGGCTGAGTATCCATCCAGCTTAAATTCATGCTTATGAAGTCAGTCTCATGGTTTACATAGTATCATCATTGTGGTCCATGTTCCTAGCCTAGGAAAAAACCTTATGAAAAGTAAAGGGGAATAAGGAGGTGGTTCTTTGAATTTAGACCTGACCAATAATATGTCCTTTCATGTAAACTTCAAGCAGCAAAAACTATCCAGATATAGACACCTTTAAAGAAGATAAAAGTTAACTTTTGAGAAAAGATGGGGCAAATCCAAGATTTCCAAAAGCACAGAGCAGACCTGAAATACTAGGGAGCAACTCACCAAATTGTTTGATTTATTTCCTGCCTTCCACTGTGTCAGACACTGCCGCCAAGTACATTAATGAGGATCCAATATAAGATAAAGGCGGTCTTTTTTTTATCTGTCTTCTCAAAGATTCCAAGATGTTCTGGACTATAATTGTGTCTCTTTTCACCTGTATGGTTGTGCTTTTTTATACCAAAAAAAATTACTTAATGTTCTATATATACTGCCATTACTATAAAGTAAACTGTACTATAAAGGCACATGTGTTGGTGTATAAATATTTAATTTTCCGGGGCCTACACTCATGACTTGTGATAGATATCTTCTAACAATTAATGTTAATATCACATATAACTCCAAAAATGTATCTGAAAAACAGCATATAAAGAATGAGAAAGCCATAAGCAAAATATAGACAATTCAGAGACTGTATGCATTTCTAATACTTTTTTTTCAAACAAAAAACCTTATATAAAACCAAGAACAATTTTTTGAGATATGATTCTAGCAAATGTAGACTTTATCGGTCTTAGAGTGCTATAGAAGAGACCCAAAGTAAATGGTTTAAAATGCAAAGGTGGAATGTGGGAGGAATGAATTTCTAATTATTCTGACAGAAATCTATGCTGAGTTTAGCAAAAGAAACAAGGTACTTTTAATCTGCAGCATGTTGATATTCTGTGAAGGTTGCCTCCTTCTTCATTTTTCTCCATTTATAGATGAAAGCAAAATTCTTTTATACAGAGTCCTCCATGTGAAGCACTGCAGTGAAACAAAGATGGTTATAGGAGAAACCACTCTATGTTTAAATCAGGGAAAGAAATAACTCAAGAATGTCAGTGAGCACAGAATCCCAACTCAACCATGACAGTTAAGAGTAGGGAACAAGAGATCTATTCTTGTTAAAAGGCTCGGGTATAGTTTTTAAATTCTGTTTGATTCTATTTTTCAGCTCTTATTGTTACCACTTACCATAGTTTTAACAAAAAATGTTAAAGTTGAAGAGTAAACATTTAGATTGAAGTAGGCTGAATTTTGTCTTTATTCATTGTGTATTTTATTTTTAAAGAGGGTACAATTAAGATTACAAGTGGGATGCTTCAAATACCTTAGAACTAACAATTATATTTTAAAGGTACTCTTTTATGAATATTATGTGTATTTCAAATACATTCTTTAAACCATTGTTTTTCACATTGTATAAAATACAATACAGTATTCTTTAAATTGTTTTAATCCAAACATGCTAACTGAACTTGCCCAGCATTTTAGAAGTTAGTGGTAAAGATAGAAATGGAATCTAAGTTATTTTTTTAAGTTAACAAATGACAATTCTCTGCTACCATTATGAAGACAGGGTAATAAATTATAATTATGTCAGAAGCATCACTAAAGGCTGGAGTCATCAGAGAGTTCTATAAAGGTGCAATTTAAGCTAGGACATGAAGGATGAATAAGATTTGTATAATTATAAAAAGAGAATATCTTAATTAAGAAGAAAACATGGAATGAGCAAAAATGGGAAAGGAAATACAAAAATGGAGAAGTATAAATGAACAGCCTTTAGGCCAGACAAACTAAAACAGGACATTTAGGTAGAAAGATAATATACTAAATTTGGTAGCAATCTAGAAGCCTTTTGAAAGGCTTTGCTACCTAGGTAGAACTATGATTCAGTTGAGTTTGAAGTCTTTTTTTTTTTTTTTAAGCAAAATTGACACGGTAAGCCTTTATTTAAGAAAGGTGTTTTACATAGGCTGATGTTGGAGATGGACTAAGAATAAAGAATATATATAATTTTGAGATCTTATACTTACATGATAATTCTAAATCAAGAAATCTGGAATGATCCAAGATTTTATATTTCTAAAAGCTCCGAAGGATACCAGCTGTTGGTCCATGGATCACAGGAAGTAACAAGGATGTAGTAAATTTAATTGTGCATCTACTATGAATTGTGAGCCAAAAGCTATTGAAGATACAAAATTGGAAGACATACCTCTTTCCTTGAAATTCTATGTGCTAGTTATTACAGCCTAGTAATCAAAGTATTTTGGAAAGCTAGAGTTTAAACTCAAAGTTTAAAATAGAATTGAAAATAAAGAGACTAACTCAAAACACATTATGAAGGCTGTTACATATAAGTGTGTCAGTGTTGATTTATCTTCATCTGCATTACAAATGATATGCCTAATAAGATGACTAAAAAATCCAGTTATCTCTACCACAATTTTATATACCTCTATGGCAATATACCATTTCCACATCTTTATTTTGCATTTATAGTATATTCCTTTTTGATTCTCATAGCTTGTTTTCCTATGTTCATTCCTTAATATAGGTGTCCTTATGGCTTACTTGTGGCCTTCTGTGCTTCTAATTCCTTATTCTGATGAATCCCAAATCTCTGTCTTGAGCTTCATGCCTAGATCCACCTGCTTACCAGGTGGATTTCCTTTAAATTCATAGGCACGGCCAACTCAGCATGTCTGAAACTAAATTCATCTCAACACCCACTACCATTTCGTTCCATTTCCTTTAGCTCTTCCACCTCAGTGACTGCAACCACAAACCACTACCCTATCATCCAAGCTAGAAGAAACCTAAATAGAAGTCAGCATAACACCTCACTTTCACTCATCTCTATATTTAAGCTCTATACATTTTCCCTCCTAGGTATTTCTTCTCTGCATTTCTGTCTCTTCATTCCAGGACCTCTATTTTTGTCTAGACATAAGACATTAGCCTCTTAACTAGTCTCCCTGTTTAAGTCATATTCCCTTCAAATTTACTCTCTATTCTACTACCAATAGTCTCTCTAAGGCATAAATTGTATACCTATGGCAAAATTGGGCTTTATATAATTAATCTAACAAATAATAATAATAATCTAACAAACTTATGCTCTCAGGCATTATACTAGTCTTTGGTACTATAGAGATTAATAAAATGGCTATCAGTGAGAACGACAAAAAAAATTTTTTTTCAATTCTTTTCCACTTTTCTCTTCTCAACTGAAATCATATCATGTTCAGTCTTATTCCAAACATGTCAGTCTTTACCTGTGAAGACACACTAATCTTTACTAAATACCTGCTATATATACAGCACCACTTACATTCTTTCAGTTACTTTAACTTAGAAACAGCACAGCCAGGTAAGTATTTTTTTATCCTGCTTGTACACAATAATAGTGAAGCTCAAAAATAAAATAATAAAAAACCTGCTAGTAATCCAGACTGAAGAGTCCATCTCAGGCTATTTAATTCAAAGATCATTTCTCCTCCCACTTTTCCATGGTGTACTTTTAACTGGGCTTAGCACCCACAATTCATTAATATTAAAGCTAATAAACTAAAGAGACTGTACCCATTTTAATGACTAAAACCCTCAAATAAATGACTGTGAATGTTTCAAATGCCAAAGAAGGAAATTTTATCTTTAAATTTGGAACTAAAATGAACTATATAAAAATGAACTATAAAGATATGAGTAGCAAAATTCTAAATTTTTAGGTGACATAAAACTGGGGGTTAAGTGAATGGCAGGAGGATTTATTGAAATAGTTCACACATGCATTCTGTACCCCTAAATAAAGCTTCTTGTTCAATAC